TTATTTTGAAATATTTTTCAAAATAACGGGCGTGCTATTTCAGAATCCTGGGAACCCTCATTTCACAAGGATTAAGGGATGTGTTGAAATAGCCCATTATTTCAAAATTTGGCACTATATAGACATGCCAAATTTCAAAATAGCCTATTTCAAGATTGAATTGAAATAAGATACGCAATGTGAGTAGCGCAAATTGCTTATCTTATTCTGAGTTTAGGGTGTTGTGTAGACACACGCTAAGTGGTGTCAGTGCCACTAGATGGGACAGTGCACCAAACCTAGACGGTGTGTGGGTTACACTCATGGATTTTCACTTAGAAAACCAAACTAACAGAATTAGCCTTTCTATGGCACTTGCACTGTTTCCCCCTCCCCAATCCTGTAATATTATCCCCATATTTCAAATGGGTTCCCAAAGGATAGTAGAAGTTTTAGACCCAAGGCCAAGCTCACAGCTAATCAAGCAAAGCAGCTTCTCAAGGCCAATTTCATAGCAATCAAAACCCATGGAAACCAGACAGCGTTCCTGCTGTGTTGCCCACCTGACAGACTGCCACAGAACTTGGACTGGTCAGAACTTATATCTCCCAGCTTCTGGGTAGTCCCCACCCTCAAGCAGGCAGAGCACCAGGCAGCTCAAGGAGCTGCACCAATTTTCTTTAGAAAGTCAAAATGAAACATTTTGATTTTTCAACTGAGAAATTTCAGGTTGCATCTGTTGCTCAGGAATGTCTGAAATCACAGTTTTGCTCCTATGCAGGACTTATTTTTTTTCAAGTACCAGAATTCTTGTCCACTGGGGATTCTAGGTTCAAACCAACCCAAATATTAAGTGCAAATCTATTTAAGGAAAAGTAGGCCCTGGCCAGGCTGTTCCTGCACAACACAGTTGCCTTTGACAAAAGGCTGCAAGCCACCGTAACATCTATGCAGTCATTAGGGTTGACAGCCATTGTGGGCCCAAGAGCAAGGTGAGGGCCCAGCTCCAAGTCCCCGAAGGAGCAGGACCTTGTTCAGAAGAGGCAAATCCGGGGGCAGACAGCCCTCAGCTCTGCCTGAACCACAGTGCTCCCCCCCCACACACCTCAGAGACCTAGTGGTGCTCTAGCATGCAATTCAAAGGGGCCCAGAGCTTTGGCCCTTTGAATTGCACAGTAACAGCAGCAGGGCTGAACCCTTTGAATTGCTGGGCCCCAGCAAGGCAACTGACCTTTCCCCCCGTCAATCCTGCATGGTTGTGTGAATGGAGAAACATGGCTGACTGGGCGAGTCCAAGTAGTCCCAAGGACCTGAACAGCAAGTTAGGCAGTCAACGTGCAATACCACGTGCTTGTGTGAAGTGCTCTAGCTGGTATCTCCTAAAAGCTATGTGCGTATGTGGATTGGGTGGGATTGGGAAACAAGCATTTTGAGGCAGCAGAACAGAATGCACCAGGGCAGCCCGAACTCTGGCGGGAGAGCCTTGCTAAACAGTAAGCAAGTTGTAAAACACAAGTCAGACAAAACATCTGGCAGCTGCTTCAAATAGTTCTTCGTCTGAAGGGCGGACAAGCCTGCAAGAGACTCGATGTGCGTATGTGGATTGGGTGGGATTGGGAAACAAGCATTTTGAGGCAGCAGAACAGAATGCACCAGGGCAGCCCGAACTCTGGCGGGAGAGCCTTGCTAAACAGTAAGCAAGTTGTAAAACACAAGTCAGACAAAACATCTGGCAGCTGCTTCAAATAGTTCTTCGTCTGAAGGGCGGACAAGCCTGCAAGAGACTCGAAAACTTAAAAACAAGCCCTTCTCCCTTTGGCACCACTTTCGGGGCCAAGGAAATTTTAAAAACAAAACCAATTAAATAAATCTCCAAATATTTCCCCCTCTAATCAAATTCAAGCCAGCCTTTGGCACGAGACCAAGATTATTAGCATACAATCAGATGGGGAGACTCAGAGGCCCGACAGCTTCCACAGGCCACTGGGCAAAGTGTGTGTGTGTGGGGGGGTCTGACTTTGTGCCCCCAGAAGGAGCTGGGCTAGGCTATGTTGGGCCCCACAGTGGCCCTTAAAGCAGTCTGGAATGTGCTGTACAGTGCTCCAGTAGCAATTTCAAGAGCCCAGGGCTCCGGCCACCACAGTAGCAGCAGCTGCAGCTGGGAGCCCTGAGACACTTTGAATCACCAGGCCCTTGGGCAACTGCCCTCTGTCTTCCGTCCCCTTCCCCCCCACCCCGCCCCCGTTGAGAGGCCTGAGGGGAGCACACAAGGGGACCCTTTCCGCTCCTAGCTTCAAAACAGCTTCACAATGGAGAAGATCTTTTTGCACCCACAGCGGAACATTCTCTGCCTCAGGCAGCAAAGGAAGCCTGGTTGTGGTTCAGACAGACGTGGGGTGTGGATTCCAGGAGCTCTTCAGTCACTTCTCAGCCTGAGCGGGTGTCCTCTGTGACCTTGTGCAAGTCACGACTCTCTTCCTCTGCTCCCATCTACAAGGAAATGGGGCTACTCCCTTTCAACCAAGACCCTGGGCTGAGGTACAGCTGACAACTTTCCAACCCTCTTGCCCTACTCCCTCTCCCCTCCCCTTCTTTGAGGCCCTGTCAGCTGCTCATGCCATCTCCCTCTCACCCTTAAATACTTTTAAGACTCAGGCCTGTAAACACATTTGAAGAGACTCTAAAAACAGGGGGAAGGAGCAAGTAGAAATTTGTGTCCTGGCTCCTATTTAACCAGGTTCCTATCTGCAATGAGGAGGGGTGAGGAAGATGCATGGCATAGCAGAAAGGACAGATATGCAGGCCTGGGCTGTATTCTCACATCCATCCTTAATCACTATGACCATAACCCCTCTTCCCATCCTTTTGAATGAGACTTAAGCTTCCTTTGCAAAGGATCTTGGACCTTGAAATTGCTTAAGCTGTGCAGATAGCTGTGCACCTGTGCAGATAGCTATTTTACCCTAGCCACCAAGGCAAAACTCTCCTTCACACTTCTAAGTTAATTTAGAGGGGTTTTTTTGGGGGGTGGGGGAGGGAAGAAAAGTTGTCTGGATTCTTCATTTTCTTTCAGAGATTACCACAGGACTTCTAGGGAGAGAGGAGCATCAGATACCTTGCGTTACGTCACAGACGGCAAAGCAGGAAAGACGGCAGTAAAAAAGGAAGGCAAAATTCCATGCAGATTAACCGTGATTAGTCAGCGCGACAGAAGGGAAGCAAGCGATATTGGCCAGCAAGCCATCCTTTGTTAATTCCATCCACATCCCATGACTTCCTGTGTGGTTGCTAAGGCGATGTACATAAACACGGCAAACTCCACGCCCCAAGCAGGTCATTTATTTCAGATATTCCCAGCAGCTGGAACACAAGCCTGTTTGGGTGTCTGGAGCAAAGCATGAACAAATTTCTCAGTCTTTGGCGCCTGCCCCACCTTCAATCCCCACAACTCCAGCTGATTGCTGGGCCCTTCCTCCCCCCCATAGTTTATGGCTCAGTCGAGCTTGCATTCCAGAGAACATTGATGGGACAGGCAGCAAGGGAGGCCAGCTTTGTCCACATATGGTCAGAGCTTTAATATTTCTCTTCCAATCCCTGCTACCTGCAGCATGAGAAAGATGCAGGGATTAATTGCTACCATGTGTGCAGGCCACCTCACTTAGCATCATTCCATTACCGCTTTCTTTTAAATGTAAAGAGATGACACCATATGAGGGCCAGGTGAGCCAATGGGGGGGAGAGAGGGGGAAAGAGGGTAAAGGGGGAAGTTGCCCTGATGCCCAGCAAATTCAAAGACAGCAGTGGTAGGTGAAGCCATGGGCCCTTTAAAATCGTTGCTGAAATGCTGTGTGGCTCTGAGGACTTAGGGGGCAGGGGAAGGAGATGAAGGGAGGAGAAATACTACACTGCTCACAGCCAGCTGGCCTGGGCCCTGCCCTTTGTCACAACAATCATGCAGCTTACTGACATGTAGGGCCACTTGGGCAACCTATCACTGGTCTTGATAACGGTCCATTCGGGCCTTACACTGTTTAGCTGAAGATCACCAAGGCTTCAAGTGAACGAAAGTGCTGCAGTGCTCGTACATCACACAATTACTGGGTAACCCTGCCTGTCCCCCTCCTCCCGCTCATTGGGAAGGAAGTTCCCCATAACAATAGGGCTGCAGGCTTGGCCCCAGGTGACAGAAAATGGTGGAGACCAATGTTCCCTCTAACTTTTTTCATCCACATGCAGAATAAATGTTACGTGCACCATGGCATGTGTCGATGTGCACCACCAGCACAAAAACACGTTACTGGTTGTGGGCACTCTGCTAATCAGCAGGGCAGCATTTAGTCACCCAAGCACTCAGCTTACAGGGAACACTAGCGGAGACCTGAACTCAAATGGTATCTGCTGTCACAGGTGGCAACACTCCCACAACCACCACAAGTGACCAAAGGAAATGGGAGATTCTCTCTCTGGGAGTCCTTAATTCAAAGTCCAGGTGCTCGTCTGGAAAATCTGCTCTAGCCAAACGAGTTTGAATGCAGGGATACGGGGGTAAAACGTCAATGGATCATGAAACAAAAAAAGTCAAAGTGCTCTAATGGTCCCTTTCTGGCCTTACAATCTATTTAAAAAAAATTGGAGCCATCTCAGCCTATAGTTGTCCATTATGTGCCTCTAGTAGGAGAGCACCGCCACAAGACCACCACAGATGAGTCTACATAAAAGCACAAGCACAACTAGTAATGATAGCTCTGAACCTAAAGGGAGGGAGGAGGAAGCTTTTTGGCCTCAAGAGCAAGCGTGGTCTGGATGTTGTAGTCCTACAGCTCAGGATTTAATTCCCAGCTCTGGAACAGAATTTTTGGGTAGCCTCAGAATGCTCTCTGTAAAATTGGTATAATCCATTCTCTCATCTTCATTTGTTCTGCTCAGACTCCATTCTTCGGGGCCGGTCTCAGTCTGTGGATTCACAACTGATCTCTGATTTTGGCCACCCCTCCCAAGCACAAATAAAACACGACTCCCGATTGATATTTAATCAACTTTATTTCTGTATTCGGTTACTTAGTATTATCTACTGCTGTACAAGAGAACGCAAGAGTTTAAAACTGTACAAAGCAATGCAAAGGGGGACAGCTAAGAGATGGTGGAGACAAAGGGGGTGCTAGAAGCACAAAAATAATAGGGCACAACGTGGCTACTTCCCAGGAGTGGTGGAAGACGCTGGTAGAGTTGAAGGCAATAAAGCTAGGTTCTATACACTCTGAAGTCTCTTGTGCAACTTTGTACGTGTCTGACCTGGTAACAGAAGCTTGTACAAAACCTTACATAAAATAACCATCCTGGTTACATTTAAAAAAACAACAACTAAGGGGCACACTGAACCCCCACCCATTCTTGGCACCAATTCTGTGCTTTAAAAATATACTATGCCAGTAATTTTTTAAAAGGTACCTACAGCAGCTGTTTAAAACAGGATTATACAAACACCACAAATATATATATTAAACATTTTCAACAAATAAACTCATTTGTACCTGTACAAAACTGAAGCAACACACAAACATTGTTTTTCAAGACAAAAAAGAAATGTGCAAAATAACCCCAGAGAAGGCAGCTTAATAGCCTGCTATTTGGAGAGGCCAGGAGAGAGCAGCTCCTGTTGATGGACTGGGTGCCCTCTTTTTGGCTGCAGAGGTGAGAGTCTTTATTTGGGATATGCAAGAATTCCCCTCCCTCCCTCCAAGCCTTTAAGGTCTCAAGGGTTCTCCTCCCCCTTGTTTTTTAACTAACTTGCTCGGTTTCTCTTTGCCATGCATGTAATGCATCGTCAAGCTACTTTCCATCACATCACCCTCTAGACGTCTGGTCTGCTGACATACTGCAAAGCTGAACGCACACTGCTCACACCCTTCCTCCTGGGTCATCTTTCCATCCACTCGCAGGGATGACACAGAGGGTTGCTCGTGCCAGAGAGCAAGGGAGAGATTATCGTGGACAATGGGAGGCTGGAGAGCTTTGATCTGAAATGCTCTAAGCAGCTTAAAGCAGAAGATTCCCTGGCAGATCCATTTTGGGGGCACCTTAAGCTTACAGCGAAGTAGAAGTTTGTGGCTGTTAAGGATCTGCAATCGATGTCAGTTTGGAGTGGCTGGCTCTCCAAGGAGAATGATGCATGCCAATGTTTTATGGCAGGAGGAGGCACCTGACCTAAAAGCTGTAGGCTAAAGAGACCACAAGAAAAGAGGGGGAAGATGCCGAGGGGCTTCTCGAAGCCCCTTCGTTTTCCCAGTCCACAACAGGCTTTATCTGCCACTGGTGTCACGGGCAGTGAAAAGGAAGACAGACAAGACAGGAAAATAATGGAGTGAGGGATGGAGAGTGATGGTGAAAGAAATGAGATTTAATCTACATAAAGGAACAGTTAAGACAGGGTGAGACAGTATCGTGACATTGACATGAGCCACAACCACCTTAGCCAAGTTTCTTTTTTTTCTTTTTAAAAAAGTGTCCATGTGGAGATTTTTGGTGTCTTCACTTCCCATGGAAGTATTTTACCTCTTTGCTTTTCAGAAGGCCCCCATCTCATGCCATTCCACACTTAGCACCTGGCATTTGACCTGTTGCCATTCCCAATGCTTCCCCCTCCAAGCTTCATGTACTCTCCTTCATCTGGTATACGGGGCAGAATTTGCTCCTAGACAGCAGGCATTCAAAGGATGCTCCACGGGTGTTTGCTAGGAGCCGGTAGGAAAGCAGCAAGGGGTGTGCAGAGATTCTGCAAGGGTGGTGGATTTTCGGTTTGGTTTTTCTTTTGGAAGCGTGCGGGGATGTGACTCATCTGCAAAGGTCATCTGAGTTGTGAAACAAAAATACTTGAAAACGTCCATTTTCAGGGCATATTTGGTTTTGGCATTGGAGGAAGGTACTTGGGCAGAGGGTGTCCAGTACTAGCAATAATGGGGGAAGGCTGGCAGAACCACTGTCCAATGGGTCAGCGCCAAATCATTTGCCTGTTTCAGTTCTCACAGCACCTTTCTAGCTATAGGTCATTGGTAGAGCAGGTAGCTCTTGAGGGATGCTGGCAACGGCAGCGTGGGGATCTCGCTCAGTCGATCCTTGCCCAGAGCCAGCCGCACAGAACGCCGGCACAGGTCCATCAGAGGCAATGGTTCGGCTGCAAGACAAAAAAGCCACATGTTAACTTGGGACAGAAGTTAAGAGTCTTTTGGCTGTGCTGCTAGTTACAACAGCCAATACTCAAGAGGAGTGAGAAAAGCTGAGACTCCGGCCTGTTCAGGAGCCAGTCTACCCAACATCCTTTGCAAGCGAGGCATCAGCTCTAGGTTACTCTGTGGGGGGTCCCAGTAGGCAACAAAGGCTGTGAACTATCCATAGCAAGCATGGAAGATGGTGCATGCCCTAGAAACACCTACTGAAGATAAGAACGGCCATACTGGGTCAGACCAGAGGTCCATCTGGCTCAGTAGCCTGTCTTTCGACAGTGGTCTATGCCAGGAGCCCCAGAGGGAGTGAACAGAACAAGTAAGCTTTCTCCTATCATCTATTTCCAGCCCCTGACAAACCAACAGAGGCTAGTGATTCCACTCCTACCCATCTGGGCTAATAAGTATTGATGGACCTAACCTCCATGAATTTATCTAGTTCTTTTTTTAACCCTGTTCAAGTCCTGGTCTTCATGCCAGTAGGATTGGAAAGGAGATCCTGGAATCCCCCATAAGGAATTAAGGAAATGTAGCAGCATTCAGTGAAGGTGGGAGATCCCACATTTTTAGACACCACAATGTAGGAACCTTTGTGAAAGCTGTTTAAATACAGGACTGCATCTCACAGTATGATTTACCCCTTATAGGCACATCAAAGCCATGCACTGCTCTTCGCAGTCCTAGGCACCCCAGAAGCCTTCACATGCTTACTTCTGACTCCCATAAAATACAGAGAACCCAGCTCGATCAAGCTTCACAAGCTGCAGCAGAGAATCTCAACTCAGATTTAGCAGCACCAGCCGGGGCTAGACACAACACCCATTAGCTCACTGTTCATGCAGCATGTTTCATAACACTTTATTTGGAGCTCACAAAGCCAGTTGTAGTGGGATGTCTTTCTGTATATCCTTGGTAGACTGGGTAAGTTCCCTGGGCCAGCACTGCATCCCCCCACGGTGGAGCTAAAGAGTTTCTATTCAGTGAACACTTCCTGAAATGCAAGCACCATGCTATTAAGGGTGCAGGTCCACCAACAAGGGGAGAGAAGGGGGCAGCTGCCCCCAGGACTCAGCGATTCAAAAAGGCCTGGGGCTCCCAGCCACCACCACTGCTATCGTGGTGTCAGAGTCCTAGACCCTTTAAGTCGCTGTTGGAGCCGTAGAGCTGAAGGGCTGGCTGGGGAAAGCTAGCCCCCACCACTTCCAGGAGTATGGAGTCACCCCCTCTTGCCCAGGGCCCAGCAATTCTGTCACCCCCCCCTCCCCCCCCCCCACCCAGGTCTTGCACTAAAGTATGTGTCACTGATCTGGGTAATTTTTCTTCTGCAGCCAACCAGCCCATCTTCCCTCCTCCCTCTCCAAAAACCCTCACTGCAGCAGCTCTCTATTCACCACTTCCCCCTTCCAGGGACATTTTCTAATGAGGACCTCAATCTCCACCAGAGGATGATGGGAGCCACCCTGAGAAAAATCCAAAACCTAATATGAAATCAGCCCCAAAGAACAAGTTGAGCTCATTTGCCTAAGTCAGGATTTCAGGGGCTGGGGTGCATAAGGGCTCCAGCAAACCAGGTTTTACATCGATATTTAAGGAGGCAAACCCACAGCACAGACTTGTGGGCGCTCCCAGAACTGGGTACGGAACATGCTCTACCAGGAAGTTTGCAAGTATGGTTCATGACAAAAATGCTTTCATCATACAGTAAAGAGAAAGCTCAGAGGTGGCTGGCTCCCACCCAGGATTAGGACCCACCTAATGAAAAAAAAGCCAGTCGTGAAAAGCCCAGCTTTGTCCTGGATCCACAGTTACATTTCAGGTTACGTTGGACTCACCATGGCAGCATGCCAGCAGTGAAGAGTTGGGGGAATGTTTTTCATACTGAAGTATTGCATATGCACATACGGTGCCATACATGTCAAATGCATTAGGGAGTTGCTGTCCAGTGTTCCCTGTAAGCTGAGCATGTGGGCAACCACCCAGAAGAGAGTCAGGTGCTGCCCAGCTGATTAGCGGAGCGGCTAGAGCCAGCAGCATGAGATTCTACTGGTGATGCACATAACATTTATTCCGCACGTGAATGGAAAAAAAAATCATGGGAACATTGCTACTGCCTCTAGCACTCAGGAAGGAGGAGGAATCTACGAAGGTCAAGCTCTCAGCACAGTGAGCATAGGGAATCCAGGAGGTTGAGATAATTTAGAGACAGAATCTCCAGTCTGGCATCTCCCTATCTCTTGGGTTACAGTTCTGCTACCTTAGCAAATTCAGAGCCCAGAAAAAATGTGGGATTCTATGGACCAAACAGAAGAACCTCTGCTTTCAGATGCATGAACAGCAAATAGAAGATGCAGTTAAACCTGAGTGAGCTGCCACAACAGATTAAATACCAATGAATATTTACTAGGAACATTTCACTGATCTCCACAGGAATGACTGGTTTCTTGAGCTCTGAAAGGGCAGACAGCATGAACCAAAGTTACAGCTGCACACAAAGAAAAGGATCTGAATTTCCTGGAGTTTGGACTAGATTAAGTTCTCCAAACTCATCCGGATTGAGCTGTAGATAAGGGGCAAGGTTTTTCAAAATCCTCAGCTTTGGGCTTTGCACTACCCACTTTAAGAGGCATCAGTTAAAAAAAAACATCCAGGCTGCTGCTCGAACCTCCAAAATGGGGACTTTACTAATCTTGGCCACATGTGTCAATTTTCCTGCTACTGGGAGACAATGTTCTTCAGTCAGTTTGCTGACCATGTGTGTCATTGCATTCATGCTTGCTTCCAGAATCATTCCAGAAAAAACAAATCCATCTTGCAGCTCTCCAACTCTTCCCACATTACTGAGTACTACCCATGAGGGCAGGGGACTAGACTCGATGACCTCTCAAGGTCCCTTCCAGTCCTAGTATTCTATGATAAGAGTTTTCAGATCCAACCTTCCTCTTCAGTCTGAAGCACTGACACTCTCGTTCAGGTTTCTTCCCACCATTTTCTGATCACTGTAGCCATTACACCTTTACCTTTTGGCCTCCCAATCCTCATTACACACCAATTCACAAGACAGCTGGTTACAATCAGCCTGTTTTCCCATTAGCAAAACCATGGCAGTTTTCTCCAAGCAGGTTAGTTGGAATCCTGTCATAGGCCCCAAGGCCAGAAGAGATCTTTGCAAACATCTAGTCTAATCTCCTGCGTAACACAGGCCAGAGAACTTCCCCAGAGTCCCTCCTAGGGCATGGTTTTTAGAGCACCATCCATTCATCCTTGATTCCAACTTCAGAGGCCATGCACGTCAAACAAAATCCTAAATGCCATTTCCAACCCATACTCTTTAGGGTCTATACATCTCTCCCTCCCCCTTTCCCACCCATCACGTGGCCTCTCTGCTTAGCCAACAATGACAGCCTTGCCCTCCAATTGTTCTCTGCTCTTTCCACTCGGATCCATCCCTTTGTCTGACCTGTCCTCTACATATACAAAGACTTCCCTGCACAACCCTGAAGCTCTGCTTCAGAGCAGCAAAGTCAGCTAATTAATGGCATCGTGGCAAGGCATATGGGAGACATGAGTAAGTTATTTTAAAGGGCAAAGAGGCATACTTGTTTCTCTGAGGCCAGGTCTGTCTACACTACAGCTGAAGGTCGGCTTCAGGTACGCAAATCCAGCTATGTAAAAAACATAGCAGGAGTTGCCATATCTTAAGCCGAGCCTTGGTGCCGTCCTCAGAGCAGGAGGTCAACAGGAGATACACTCTTGTTGAAATCCCTTACTTCTCACAAGGAGTAGGAGTTCTGGCATCAACAGGGGTGCCCTCAGTGTTTAATTAAGCAGGTATATGCTAGACTGGCTACATCAAAGGTCAGAAGATTGACCAATGCAACATCCGTCTTCTACATGGTTTAGACGAGGCTTCATTCTACTCCCCACTTCAGGCCCCCCACACAACACCCTTCATTTGTCACTTTGCCTGTAAACTCTTCCAAGCAAGGACTGAGTCTTTGTTTATATGGCATGCACCACAGAACAACTAGGACCCTCCTCTGGGCCCATGGCATCACTGCAATAGAAACTTGCCAACGCAATGGCCTTCAAAGTGGCGTTCGATGCAGACTAATCCTGCTAAATTGCACCTTATCCTACATTGATTTGCGAAGATAACCCCAAAACCGCCCCGTAAAAGTGACCAAGAGGGGCCAGGAGCAAGCTTATGTTGGCGGGTGAAAGGAACACCCAGAAGAACAAACCACACTTGATTCTGAACTGCTGACCCGGAGAACCCAGCCGCTGCTCGGGGACCCCTTTCACAAGCATGGAGCCGTTTGATTGAGTGCACTAAGCTCCGTGCACCAAGTACTCCAGCGCAACTGCAGCCAGCAGCTGTTCCATCTGGGAGCGGAGATCTGACCATTACTATTTCTCATGGGCAAAGCTAGGCTCCAGTAGCCTCATATCAAGTGCATTAAGTCCTGGAACCACTCCAAATGGAGCAGACATTACAAGACAGTTTTACACGGAGTTCTCAAAACTCCAACCTATATTGCTACCTATTGACTTCACCCTGTGGAGCTGAACGGGTTAGAACTGAGCGACTATCTCCCTTAGGCCATGCTATGTAGCAGAAGTTGGAGTCCCTTGTGTCTGAGTGCTAGGGCACTTCTGCCAAGAGTTCTCTATTCAAATGCTTGATCCCATGCCCTCCAGGATCAGGCACCTGTGCTCCCGGCAAACTGAGTGCTTGTGCGTTTGCTCAGGAGAGATTAAAATGCTGCCAAGCTGCTTAGCAGAGTGCCCACAGCTGCTTAGCAGAGTGCCCACACCAGTTTCTACCGGTGGCGCACTTTCGCCTGTGTTTTGATGCATTTAAAAATGTATTCTGCACATGGTTGAAAAAAATAAGAGGGAACATTGTTGGGCACCTTTCTGGACATGCTCCAAGACAGTCTGTTTAGGGACAAGGAGGCTGGGAGGGGCCATCTAGTTTTTAGTTGGGCAAGGCAGTCTATACAGGCAGCACTGGCATGGTGCATTTTCAAGTTTAAACATCAGCATCCCCAAGAGGCACCTAACACATGGGGAGAAGACATCCCACCTTTATCCCTACTTCACACATGCACTCGCCCTATCCCTGGACCCGCAGAGCTAGCCCTTGCTCATCCCCGGTAAAGTGACATACAAAGCATTCCCAGCCGTTGCCTCTGGCGGGCTCCTTTCAGACACAGGAGACTTGACAGCATGATCAGCAAACACCGTAGTGCGGACAAGAATCTGCGTTCCAGTGAAAGCTTGATTTAGGCCACCTCAAAATTAGAGCAGTCTCCTCCCATTACTGTTTAACCTAGGTGGCCCCTTGCTGTGCTAGTGAGGGGGCCGCATGCATGACCCGCCATCTCAGTGGGCCACAAGACTGTCATGAGTAACACTGTCTCCCGGGACATGGTAGTTTTGCTAACTAGGGATGTTAAAATGGGTGTAATTAAATAACCCTGTAACTAGTAAGTTTCAGCAATTACACGATTACATGCAAGACAGAAGTTGGTTCCTGCCTCCCCTCACCCCCACAATGCTGCCTCTTACACAGAGGCAGCAGCGGGGCAGGGGGGAGCAGGGAGGAAGCTCCTCAGAAGCCAGTGCATGTGGGGAGCTAGTGCCTACCCACCCCTGTGGGGCAGCAGGCAACTCTCTGGGCATACTGGGAGCCTGCATGTAACCATGAACATTAACAGATTACCTAGGCTCAGCTGTTAACTGTGTACACGGTTACACTTTCACATCCCTGCTGATAATTGTGGTTGTGTACCTAGGATTTGCAGGATGTGCTGATGTAACCGTAGCAGCGCTTTGATAGCCTGCAGAGGGAGCACACAGCTTTCACAATGTTGCGTGCAATCAGCACCCACCTCGCTTCACATGCTCTTGCTTTACGTGCATGTCACTTCTGTAACACCAGTAAGAAAAAAAAAGTTACACAGACTGAAACCAGCAGAATCTGGCCACCCTATGCATGGGAAACGATAAACAAAATGTCTCGTGAGCCAAACACTGAACACATGCAGCCCCTGAGCCACAGGTTGCCCACTACTCTACTAGTTTGGGACGAGAGTGATCCATGATACAGGTGCTCCAATCCCTGCCCATCTGTGCCTGGATGTAATCTCAAGTGCCGGTTTCCTCTGTCTACTTCTGCATGGTTTGGGACCTAGCTACCCTACGAGACCAACCATCCCCAAAGAGGTGCTGCAGCTATCAGGCTTAGCTGGAAAGCTCCTACCAATGGCACAAGGAAGCAAGGAGTGACAGCAGAGGATTTTGGGGAAGGGTCCTGGCTAGTGAGCAGGGCCAAGGTCTTCCTTTGAGCCGTGTGCGCGTGGGGCATGGGTCACAGCTGTGCCCATGTTTTCCTACAATAGGTACCCGGAAAGTAGGTAATGGGTGCCATTAAGACCGCTCAGTTCCTGTGCAGAGTAAAATTACATGAGTTTGGATATACTCAATAGGCAGCTGTCCTGGTACCAATGTAAAAGCTTAGAACTTGCTACATGGCCAATTGCACCATTGGCCAGGTTTGCTCAGGGTCTCTGTATACTAAACGGAAAAATCAAGAAACCAAACAGTAGGTGTTTTGTAGCAGGTCAACTTAGGAGAAATGAACCCCTCCCTCCCGCCCAAAGACTGAAACAAGCAAGACAAATGCACCGGAGATCAGTTTCCACTGTTTCACTCCAATACCTGTGACTCAGCACTAGCTTCGTCTCAGGCCAGGAATACCCTATTGCGTGTGGCTTGGTTGCCAGGTTTGGCCAGATCACAGATTTCCATTCTGCCGTCCAACCCGGGTAGCAAAAACTAGGAAGAGCTTTAGTGCCGAGTGAAACATCTCACTGGTCAAAACAATTGTCCTTTTTGGTCTGTGTACAGCCACTAACACCACAAAGTCCTGCTCTGTGATTGGGACTCCCGGGGGAGGGGAGAACCAGAATACAAATACAATGGGTGCATTGCCTTCATTTGCTACTGTGGCAAGGAGGGGCAAGTCTGCAGTATTAGGCATTTGCATTTTGTTTTGCTGAAGTGAAATATTTCAATACTACACTCAATTCTGAAGGGGCGCCAGCATTGTACCAGGTGCCTTTCACATGGCTTCAGTGAAGAACAGGTATGTTTACCCTCCAATACAGGAAGAAAGTATTCTACAGCACCCTGGAAACAATACAAGACAGATGCTTCTCTAGAGCTTGGAGTGAACATGTTACCCTTTCTGTGTTACCTCTGAGCGGAGTATGTGCTCCAATGGGGAGGTGACATGCAACACATCACCTTCATATTGGTGCACAACAAAATTCATGTGGCAGGGGTGGGGCTAAGGGGTTCTGACATGTTTCAGTAGCAACAAATCCAGATTAAGCCATTCCTCTAAATGAACTAAGTCACTTCAGTACAATTGGGAACAAAAAGACGGACGGGCATTATCCCAAGACCAGTTTGAAGCTGCGAAGCTTGTACTAAGCCTGGTGATGAATTGCCCTCTAGAACTTACACTGAGCCATCACAACTATGAGGGTTTTCCTGGCTACAATACCCAACCCCACACCATGTAACAGTGTCCCTTCACCTTGACAGGGAAAGGACAGAAAGCTAGTTGCTGAAAGAGGTGGGCTTCCAGTCTAGTGACTGCACAGCTCTCTACACACCTGCCTGCAGAGTGAGTTTAGAACTTGCTCTCCTGTATCATGAGTACATGTGACCTTGCTGGAAAAGGGAGATACAGAGAAGCAACAGGCTTCTCCCTTGTCCATTGGCCTAAATCCAGAGTAAGGCACTGGAGATTCTGGCAGTAAGGAAGGGGAGGAGAACACTAGCATTCCAGAGAGACACTTAACACAGATGGCTAGAGTCCCAGCAGTAGCATTCATCTCTGCACTGCTACCCAAAATCCACTCTATACAGACACCTAAGAACTACTGAGTGGAGATGTAAAGGATTAACCGATTACCCAGTAAGGGCAATGCTTATTGGGTAAGCAGTTTACTAGCAGCCTGGCTGGATTGGAGCTGCTCCCCTCCTGGAGTAAGGAGGGCCTGGCCCAAACAGACCCCCCACCTGCATCATTGTGAGTGCTGTTCCAGACCGGCCGGGTCAATTGCGCAGCAGATGGAGGGCTGCTGCAACCTGGCCAAGCTGGAGTGACCCTCTGCCCGAGAAATCCCATTTAACTGAGGATTTTACACACTTACTGAGCTGCTTTCTAATTTCAGGTGCACTACGCTGATGGGCAGACAGACCTGTTGGGTTTACCTTGTTGTAGGGACATAAGCTGGCTGCCCGGTAGCTGCACTAGATACAGTCAGAAACAATAATTGTTCTTTTCCAACATAGCCCATCAGCAGACACTCATCTGGAGTAAAAACCCCCATCTTCCCCCAAGCCCCAACAGTCATTTCAGCTTCCACAAGCTGAAGCTTTCAGGTACCTAAGCTCACTAGCTATTGGGAAGGGAGTGGGGGATACATGGTTCGATCCCATTCGAGGCGCTAGGAAGGCATGCAGAGAGTCGCACTTTCAGCGTAAGTTGTGGGAAGTTATACTCACGGTCAAGCCCGTTCAAGTAGCGCATCCGTATTTCGCAGTGCCCCCACACTGCGCTTACAACTGGATACAGTTTTTTCCCTTTAAGTCCTCGAAAAGCAACACCCATGTACTGCCCATCTACAATGAAGCTCAAGGTCCCGTCGTCCATGTCCAGGACCACCAGGAAAGAGTCCGGCACAATGAAAGTCTCATCAGGTTCTAAGAAGGCAGGGTAGGTTTTACTTGGCTGGTTCTTCCCATCATGGTACAGTCTGTTCCGCCCAAGGTCCCAGCCCCAGGATTCATGGTTGTTTCCTATCAGGGTTGTGTACCCTACAGAATGCAAGGGGGCATCTGCCGTAGCCACCCCTACCACAGCATGCGTGCCCCGCTGCCTCATGGCCCACGTGATCTGCCACACATGCAGTCCCCTCGTATATCCAACTTTGCCTCGGATGGCATCTGTGCTCTGAGCCACCGGATGCCGGTGAAATATTAGTTTGTCGTCCTCTTTCACAAAGACGTTTAGCGAGCGGTCATCATTGTTCCAGGAATGCAGCAGCTGGACTTCGTAGGAGACCGGGGGCATGTCCAATAGCAAGTCTAGGCGCGTGGGCTTGCAGTAGTCCAGCCCTTGAAGCTCCTGCTTCAGAGGCCTGTAGGCAGGGTCTCTCATATCCACAGTCTTTATTCCGCCAGTGACTTTCTGACCCATCTTGTGTTTCAATTTCACCTACTTACAAACTCCCAGGGCAAGCTCATCAATTACCCTCCTGCTGTCATTCAGCCCCAGTGGAGGTTGCTAGGAGACCTTATCAAGATGCGCACAGGTCAGAATTGCCTAATGGAGGGAAAGAAAAACAAGGAGAGTTAAACATTAGTGCACAACCCATAAACAAGATTTCCAGAACCTGGCTGTCTGGGCAAACAGAGCAAAGGTCACTACAAAGGCAGCTAGGCAAGTCACCCATTTAAGAGCACTGGCCCCAGACAGAACGGGAGGGACCACCCTGACTGGAAAGAACAACAGATGTGAGAGGACAAGGTATGACTGCAGCACAAATCTAGTTCAGGGGCGGGAAACCTTATCTGGGCTGGGGGCTGCTGACCCACAGAAAAATCAGTGGGCGGGGGGAGGGAAGCAAGTGAGAAGCAGAAAAAAAGTTAGAAAACCACATTCCCCGCACAGACCAGAGCCTGGGGGGGGGGGGGGGGGGG